TTCTGCTCATCTTCCTGCTCTTCCTCCCGGCCGTGATGATGAGCATCTACTTTTGGTACCGGCGGGAGAACTCACTCCTGAATAAATGGATAAAGGAGATGAGGAGAAGGAGCCAGGAGACATATAGGTGGGTGATGCGTCCGAAATCCCTTCTCTCTTGAGGACCCAGTGAGACTCTGAAACCTTGTTTTCTTGCCACTGCAGCATCCAGCCTGGTAGGAACAGTTGTGGGGGAGCTGGTGGTACACAGGATCTGTTTCAAACTGGTATGAGACCTGGTTTGAGATAGGAAGAGCTCTCTCCTGGGAAATCTGAGGCTCTCAGATCTCCCCTGAGCAGAGGACAGGAATGGTCCTCTGGACAGGACAACCCCAGAGAGTGATGACGAAGGTGGCCTGGTATCGAGGAGCTTTCTCGCCATCTGCTCCTAGCAGGCTGCAAGAACTGGAAGGGCTCTAAAGGAGCACTGAATTTAGATATTCTCATTATTTCCACTCCTAGTACAGGTACAGCACACACATACCTCAGAGCCCATGCAATAATTTGAGAAAAAATTCTGGAACCAACCAACCTCCTTCATTACCCTCATTATCTCAAGACAGACTTGTTAACTCTGCTCACCCAGCCCCGCAAGACTGTCTGTTAACGATCTCTTAACGGAGACAGGATCTCACTGATGTGCAGCATTTTGGGAGGCAGCTGTTGCAGAAAATGGTTGCTTTATTTTGCCATCTGTGATTTATGTTTGTGATCCCGGGCAGGAACAAAACCATCAGTCGGAAGTCAACCGGTGGCCATCCCAAAGCTGCTTTCACCTTGCGGAACATTTCCACCTCCAGCCACACTAATAAAGTAAGTAATAACTCACCTTCCAGGTTTGCTTTCCCTTCCTGGGACTTGATAACTTGTGGGTGATCACATCTACCTCTAGCAACTGGGCAAGCAGCTGGTGCTCCATGCTGGTTTTGCATTGTGTCTACACTGTGAGCCCTTGGTCAGTAGTACACATCCCTCCTAAAAGCGAGCCTGTTGAGCTCCGCCTGCTCAGAAAGACACCGGTGATTGCCAGGAGCCTTAGGCAAAGCTTAGCAGGGGGCTGTGCAATCCCGCTGATGACTTTGTGCTGGGTCTCCGGGGAGGCAGATGCTTCTGCTGCTGGTTGTGTCAGCTCTGGTGACCTTGGGATGGGTAAACCCAGGGCTGAATTTAGGAAGAACTTAGGGTTTTTGAGAACGTCCACAGGGGCTGAGAGCGGGGCAGAAGGGATGATGTCTCCCGTCCGGTGGAAATCTGGTATGGATTCCCCAGAGCTGGCCCTGCTCCAGATCTCCTGAGACCAGCACCTTTCTCATTCTTGTGTGCTCTCATGTGGTTAGCGAGGAGCAAACATGTTCAGCTTTTGGGCGGGATGGTAAAAGTGGTGGTCCCAGAAAGTGGAGTAAATACAACTGCAACTCCCTAGCACCCAGACCTTGAGGGGACATCTGCTTTTCAGCACCCAGGAAAATGCACCTAAGGATTTTCTCCATACTCCTGCTTTTCTTGTCCCCGCAGGCAACACGGGCTGCGTTCCCCACCAAACCCAGCGCTCACCAGCCTGGCTCTCAGCCTGTCAACGTTGTCCATCCTCTTCGCCCGCCTCCCCACTCCATCCCTCCGCGCCCAAGAGACCCCAAGCCTGCCAGGCCACCTCCACCAGTCAGCAAATCGCCCATGGTCCCCACCAAAAAGGTCGTCTCCCAGGCTAAGCTGCCGCCTCCAAAGAAACCTCTTCCCTGCAGCCCTGTGAGGACCCCGCTGGTGAGCTTTGGTGGTTGGCTGTGCTTTCCTTCCAGACTCATAGAAATTCCCTGTTTTTTGGCTGCCTGTGGCTCTTTTGGGTCGGGCACTATTAAGGAGCTGTCACGCCACCCTAAGAGATTAATCTGTTGCAATGGTGACGAAAGCTGATTAGATAATGAGAATATTTAAGGTAGTTTGCATGTTGTTGTTACATGCTTTGAAGCATCTCAGCTCTGCAGCAGGGGAGAGAGGTTTGTAGGAGGTCACTGGATGCTCCTCTAAGGATGTTGTCTCTCTCCATACACTTTGTGATCCCAGGTCATCCCAAAGCACCAGCCCCCCCGTCGGCCACTGCCTGGAAGTCCTCTTCTGGCCAAAGAACTGCCTCCTGCACATGGACAGACCCTGCTGGTCATGGTCCCTCCTACCAACTTCAAGGTGTCGGGTACAAGTGCCATGAGCCACCCCACAAGGCCATTAAAGTAAGTTGAGAGAGGAGCTGAGCCGTCTCCCACCACTGCTGGGGTCCTGCAGGTGGACACAGTGGGGAATCTTGTGGGTCATGTCTGGGTGGGACATCCCAAATGTCATTGTGGTGTGCTCTGGTCTGCCCCTCGTCGTGTCTTCACTGTGACCTGGGTTTCTCCTGCTCCTCCCCAATATGGCTGGTATGTACAGGCCAGGCTGCTGAGGAGCGGGGGAAATGCTCTGTGCTCTGGGGTGGGCAGGTCTGTGCCCGCTGCTGGAGCTACAGAGAGTTCAAAGGCCACCAGCTTTGGGGTAACTGGCCTGTAGGGCATTGTGGATCTTTGGTACGGGGCATCTGGGGGCAGCAGCAAAAGGTAGGAAGGAAATCAGAAGACGTCCCAAATTCTGCTACCTGGGGAGCAACTGCAACCAAAGTGTTTATCCAGATGGGGATGCTACGTGCATAAACAATCCTGTGCCCATGCTCCTTCCGGCATGGTGCAGCAGAAAAGCCTGCCCACCCAAGCAAGGTACCTGCAGGTGCCCGGGATCTGCAGCCATGTCTCCACCTGGCAGGACCCCGCAGGGTTTGGGCCAAGGTTGGCCAACGGTGACCGAGGTTGGGTCTTTGGGTCTTGTAAGGTCCTGATGGGTTAAGGGAGATGCCGTCCTTTGGGTGTGCATGTGTCCTCCCCCTCCCAGAGCATGGAGGGAGCTGTTGGTGTTCTGCTGGGGGACAGTGGAGTGAAAGGATGGATAATGATGGTCTCTTTCATCTTTCCTCCCTGCAGGCCGATGCCGCCTCAAAGGTGAGTCACAGACACCGTGCAGGACCCTGGGGACTGCTTGTGGGAGGATGGCCTTTGGTTAAGCACTGGGCTGGGAACCAGGAGACTGGGGATTAAACGTCCGCCTTCCCAGAGGCTCCTAATGAGCAGCCCGTCTTGGTACCTCAGCAACGGCAGGGCTTGGGCACCTGTATCCAAGGGAATGGAAGACGCAGGCTTTCCATTTCAGAGCTGGAAGATCAAGTCCAAGCCCTTTACAGTATCACTACTACTTTCAACTCTTGCTGTACTGCTAAATCCTCTGGATATGGGCCAGTGGAGCCTCAAGGGATCGTGCTTGCATCTGCTTCTGCTAGCCAGGCTTGTGGGCCATATCCAGCCATGGAGAGAAGGCACCGTGCTGGACTGAAGTTGGCCCTCATCCCCAGACAGTCTGCTTTGCTAATTACTGCTTTGACCCTCTTACACTATTTTAGGTTCTTACGCCTTTGTAGTTGTCACCACAAAGAGGCTGAATATGCCTCAAAATTTCTCAGTGTAACTCAATCCCTACAGCTCATCTCTTCTAGTAGATAAAACAGGCCTGTTCTGTGGTCCCAAAAGCGAAGGCTTGGCACATCCCAGCAGCCAAACTCAGCTCCCTTCCCCAAACGGTGTAGTTTTATCCTTGCTGCCCACTGAGAGCAGTCCCTGGCCATCCTCTCTTGAAACTGTGCCCATGTCAGAAAGTGTAGACTGGCAGGGCCAGACTTGTTCCAGGGAGTAGGATGTGCTGGGGTCCTGGTCTGTATTCATTACTTGACACCACCAACATGCTAGGAGAGGGCCAGGGATGTCTTTCCTGGATGGATGAGGTGAGAGATTTCATGAATTCCCAGGATGGACTATAAGGTCCATATCAGGTTGGTTGATTTGGTGATGTCTCTTGGTAGTGCACGAACCACCTTGGCTGTTCCTGGGAAGCCAAGAGCAGTAACCTCTTGGGGGACATCACTCCCACAGCTAGTGGGCTCCCAGTTCTCACTGCTGGTTACTGCCCAGTGTCACCACATGCTTTGGTGGACTCTGCATCCTGTCAGGGTTTAGAGGGTACACCAAAGGAAAACACCTCAAAGCGATACAATTTGGGGTTGTATCTTTGAGAGAGGACATGGGTGACCATGACAGTCCCAGGTCCCCTCTGGTCTCAGGGACAGCAGCTGGTCTGTCTTCCCTGAGCTGTGGAAGGATGCTGTGGTGGAGGTGGTGGATGCTTAGTCTCTGCACTCAAATGAGTTGTCTCCTTTCTCTTTCTTTTCGTTCTAGGCCAGTCCCAGCCATCAAAGTCCAATCAACCTCCTTCCCCTTGAAGAAGTGACAAACCAAGGACACCTTAAGCCCATCCTTCCTGAGCTGGCTCTCCTGATTTGCACTGCTGCTGGCGACAGGGGTCTCTTATTCCTCTCTTGTTTTATTTGTCTTTTGATACCAGAGGACTATTTTTATAAGACAGAATATGTATTCAGCACAAAAACTGTAGTGGTGGTGGGAGGAGAGGGGAAATTGGTACCATGACGTAACTAAGGGTTGGGGTGGGTTGGTGGTGGGGTTACCACGATGGAGACTCCACCACAGCTCCTGGCATCGCTTCCTGGCCAATTTACCCCCCAGCTTTAGTTTCTTCTTGACATTGCACATGGGCTGGGATGAGGTGACTTGGGGTCAAGTGAACATCCAACACTGATGAAAGATGCTGACAACAGTGGCAGCAAAAGCCGTGTAATATCCTTCTAGCTACCTCCTCCTTCTCCTCCAGGCCTGGTGAGACCCCACCACCACCCATTGCCACCAGAGTTCAATGCTGGGCGTTGTCTCCGGGGAGACATTTGCCATGAGAGAAAAGTGGTTTTCAGTTTGGACTGTTGCCATACAGTGCTGGGACATTTCCATGAAGGATCCAAGTCCTCAGGCTCCTCCTGGCCTCCTACCTGATTGCACAGGAAAAAACAGTGACAATCCTGGGGTCGTACCTGGAAGGAGAAGCTGTCTGGGAAATGGTTTAATGTCTGAAGTGCTGGTGGCAGCTGGTTACCAGGGTGCTTTCAAGGGGCTCAGGAGCCCTCCATAAACATTGCATGTTCCCTGCTCATGGGGCAAGCCCAGCAGTGGCTCTGTGAGCTGCTAACACTCTGCTGTCCGAAGAGGGAAGGAGCCACAAGCCGGGAACAAGAGCAGGAGGACCTCCTGCCTGTATCATTGGCTTGCCCAAAGGTCTTGGCCAAGCCATTGCATTTCTCTGTGCCTCAGTTCCCCCCATCTGTAAAATGGGGGGTAATACCTACCTCACAGGGGTGTTGTGAGGTTTAACAAACTGATGTCTTGAAAGGGCTTTACAATCCTCAGATGAAAGGTGCTGTTGACCTGCACAGTATTATACCGTGCCACTTTCCTATGACTTGACATGCGGCTCTGTCAGGGTCTGAAATGAGAACAAAGGCTTTGTACAGTCCCCTGGCTCCTCTGGCTCTTTTCTTGCTCAGAAGTTCCCTGAGCCTTTAGACACCAAGTTCTCCAGATCTCCTACCACACTGGTGCAAACAGATCCCTGGAGCCCCTTCTGTTAGCTCTTAAACCTGGGATCATTCGGTCCAACTGTGTGTGACGTCAACTACCCTGGGGTAGATTCCATCTGACCTAGGACAAATCTTTTTGAGATTTGTCCAACCAATGTAAAGGTTGTTCATGATGCAGGCTCAGGGACAACCCTCAGGAAACTGTTCTGGTGTTTCATTATCCCCAGTGTTACAAAATGGGCTGCTAATTGCAGGTTGTGGTTAAGGCCACCTTAACCTAAGCTGCCTTTACACTCTTATGATCAGGCTTTGTTTCAAAGTCTTTGGTCATGCACATGGGTCTTCCCTGAAGCATCTCTGGTACCTCTGTATCTTTCTTGGTGGATATCCGGGCGGGATCTAGGATCCAGCATCTCCTCTTACTCTGATAACAAGTCACAAAATCACGGAGTCATTTATGTTGAAAGAAACCTCTTGAGATCATCCTCAGATAACCTCCAGAGGACAGGATAAATGACCTGGTCCCTAAACCTTCCCAAGGTCCCATTCTTTTGAGTGCTCTCCCGAGGACTTCTGACATGGTCAGACTTGAGCAAGAGCCTATGGAGCTCCTGGAGAGGGGAAACCCTGCTCCCTGCCTGTGAATGCCCTCCCTTCCACTGTCCAGTATAGGTGTTAGCAGAGGGTTAAACAATTGGAGAGGGTTTGGAGAAGTTGCTGCAATGATGAAGTGGTTGGAAAAAACTTTTCTCAGTGAGTCGGACCATTTAGCTTAATGACAAAGTGAGGGGTGACAGCGCTGCGGTCAAAAAAACACCGTACGGAGAGACCAGCAATTGAATGATCACATCAAGCTGATGCAATGTCCCCGGGCTTGGATTCTTGCCCATTAATGTCACCTACCCGGCCAGCATGCTCCCTTTCGTCTCCTCCTGTTGCCAGTGGGAAGAGATGGGGAGTTTACCCTCTACAGCTACCCAAACTTCACCAACAGTGCAGAGCTAGGACACGCACATTCAGGGGCTAAATTTGAGCTATTCAGGCTAGAAGAGAATTGATAGAAACCCCCATTTCTGATCTCACGGATCCTGCGAAGATGTACTGGTCTAGGGGTCTGCTCAGCACACAATAAGTACTCGAAGATATTTTTACCCTTCTCAAAGACCCTTTCTCTGCCTGGGAGATGTCCTTGCATGCACCAGCGGATTTTTCTTGAGGCAAATTGGCTGTGCCATGGTGCAGAATGACCCATCACATCCCTTTTCCCCCGGCAGAGCAGCAATGCTGAGAACAGCCCTGCCAGTCCACATGCCCAGACTAACCCAGCTCCTCTGCCCTTGCAAGCTGGCTCCCTGCTTGGAGTGGAGGTATAAGAAATCGTAATTTAGGGGTGATGCGCGATGGTCTGTTTGCTGGCTTTGTCTAACTTGAGATGGTCACAGAGAGTGCAGCTGGAGGATGTCCATCCTGATGCATCCACAAATGTAAGACGTGGCCTGTGGGCCGTGGGACGGGCAGGACTTGAGGCCTGGTTAGAGAAACTCATGAACCCAGGGAGGGCTTTTGGGTGTCCAGCTGACACTAGATGGCAGCAGATGACCATGAAAGCCTCTGCTCAGCCTTACCTCTGAATTGTTGCTGGGATTTCCAGGGACCTGATTCTTCTTGCACTTTCTCCCCTGCCCCATCATCTGCAACTCCATTAAAAGCGTGAGCTGGGCATGAAAGCTGCCGAGTGCCTCTGATGACTCGTTGAGCTTGCAGTCCGTCCAAGTGGAGCTTTCCCCTTTATAAAGGGGCCCGCTGCCAGTTTGGGAACCTTTGGAAAACGACAGTAGGAGAGCTGAAAAAACCACAGCCCTTCACCGTACCATGTCTTCAGCATCAAAGGCACCTTCTTGGCTGATGGAGCCTTGCTCAGACAGCATGTGCTTGGTGAAGGGGAAAGGGCAAAGCTCCCGTGGTGGTGGTCCTGGATCAGTCATTTCAGTGAAACCTGGGGGCACTGAGACGTGCATTGTGGTCCCATCTGCTACTTAAATGTCTTTCAGTCTCCTTAAGGCTTGGAGGGGTGGGTGTGGGATAGAGGGTCAGACCACTTTTACCTTCATCACCTTGGCGTTTCGGGGTGCTTGTCCCAGCTTTGCTGCTGTATAGGCCAACTCATATATCATGTCTGTCCCTGTATGCACTTTGAGGTGGAGACCAGCACCAGAGTGAGTACACTGAGTGCTGCAACCTGCTTTAGCCCAGCTGCATTTTTTGGCATTGGCATGTACGTCTCTTGCGACAAAAGTGTCCACAAAATGCTGCGTCTGCTGGGAGGTTGGGCCTCGCCATTTCCCCTCCAGTCAGGTAAGGGAGAACCTGGGACCGTGATTACAGAGACGTGTGCTGAAACTCTCTACCTCCAGTGAAGTCTTGAGCAAAGGTTGAGGCTGAGAGGCTCAGGCTAATGCTTTGCTGGTGGTTTGAGCAGTCCCTTTGCATGCACATTTCTCATTTATCCAGTGGTACTTGTATTCACCATGTGGCAGAATTTGTGAGATTGAAATGAGGAAGACAAAAACCTCCTAGCTAGCTCAGGAGAAAGGTTCTATATCAAATTCAACGGCTTTAGGTTGTACATGCTGGAGGGAGCAACCATTCTCTTAATTCCCAGTAACATCTTGGAAGACAGGATGGGCCCATCCCCTTGGTCCATCTAGTCCGATATCCCATTTCCAACAGCAACAAGATCCAGACATTTCGGAAGACAAGTGGAGCAAAGCCCAGCTCCTTTCAGATTTTAACCTGATCCCTGATGGAGCCTGGTGCCAGCTTTTTGCTCTGTCCTGGTATAAATGCCCTTTTGTTCTTCAACCCCCCAGCGATGGAGAGCCCACACCGCTCCAGGGAGCATCTTCCTGTGCCTTCCTCCCCATGGTACAAACGTTTTTCTCCAGCTTTGGTTTGATTTACCAGTCTCCGTCTTCCTCCTGCACTGAGATGCTCCAGGTCCTATGCAAATGAAATGGGGGAGCAGTTGAGCTGGGGTAACTTGGGTGAGTCATCTCCAGCGGTGTCTCTTTCTCTGCGCAGCTGCTCTTCTCTTGCTGTGTCTCACTGCCGTCAGCATTCTTGCCAAGACTTCTGAGGTCCCTGCACACCAGGCACTTTGCAAACAGCAAAACTGAGAGCTCGTGATCCAGCCTACTATGAAATTAGTAGGGGCCTCCGGGCTTTCTGGACGCTTTCACTCTTACCAGGGCTGATTAGGGGGTGTAGGAGTGTGCGTGGGGGTGTTTTAACATCTCCTAGGCTTCCTTTTAACACGGTGGCCTCCTTTGAATTAAACATCCAGGTGATATGACAGGCACTGCCTCAACCCAGGAGAAAGGTCTTGCTGAGCTGATAGGGCTCATTTGGGCCCAGTCGGACCCATTCGGGTCCTGGAGGTGGCCAA